CTCTTCTCCCTCTCTGCCTACGGTTTACCGGGCAGTTCTATTTGACGATATATATATATATATATATATATATATATATATATATATATATATATATATATATATATATATATATATAAGATATGTTATGGAGAAAAATAAATTAAACAAGATTTGCCTGAGCATGACATCCAAATTCTTTACCAAATTTGAAATAAAAATAAAATACGGAGAACAAATACTTGCGAGGATTCGGTCCTCGGCAGGCCTAAGGGTTCCCTTTTGCATCTGTACCCGCCCTAAGTGAAGGCGAGCCTAACAAATCACGTGGGCTGCTGCTGGCGCTGAGAGGCGAGGTGCAAGCGCGTGCGGTCGTGTAGGGAGCAGGGCACTGCTAAGGGCAGCGCCATAGCCCAGCCTCCATAGCCCAGCCTCCATAGCTGGCTGAGGGCTTGGTTGTACAGTGAGGCGCAGGGGTGGTCTTCGGGTGTACAAAGGGAAGACACGGGAGTAAGATGAGGAAGAGAGAGAAGGATGATGATGATGATGATGTGAGGGCACATACCTGGTATTGGCGATGGTCTGCATGGGCGACATCTCCAAGTACTTCGGAGGCTGCTGACGTCAACAGTTGCATTATCAATTAGTAGGCAGAGAGTAGCTGTGTAGGAAGTAGGCTGAGCGCCGAGCGCCAAGTAGGGAGATAGGGCCCGGACACTCGTGTTGGTGGTGGCGAGAGCAAGCTCTCATTGACATTGGTTTTCAGTGCCAGTGTTACGAAGCTTCATTGGTGTTATATTGGACCAGGTGCATTTCTGCTTTCTGGACAGTGTGATACTATTTGGCTTTCAATGTGATTGTGCAATCTGCTCATTGTTATCTCGCTATTGCTCATTTTCCTTGCATACTAATAATAAAAATAAAAAAAAATAAAAACTTAAAAAGAGAATTAAATTTAGTGAGTGCGCGAGCACGTTTTTGACACCGCCATCTTTGGCATTTTTTTTTTTTTTTTTTTGTTTTGTCATAGCTAAATGCCCTGAAAATTTCAGATGTGTACATCACATAATACAGAACCCACTAAAAAAGTTTCAAAAAATAATAAAATTGCTTAGACCCCGAACTAAAGTGGAAACAAAAAGTAAAAAGTGAAAAAAAAAGTGGGCGAGCACATTTTCACACCGCCGTCTTTGGCGATTTTTCATTCTTATTTGGCTGAGCCAAATGACGTCAAAATTTATAGGCATTTACCTCACATCATAGAGAAATCACAAAAACAAATCAGGAAAAAGAACTTATTTTTAGGCCCCGAAATATTTTTTGGCGGGGGCCGAACGCCATCGGGTTCGGACCCCGGATGGGACCCCGAACGCCCGTACGTACGGAGGTCAGCCTGGGGACCTCCGTACGTATGGGCTGGTGACCCTGTATATATATAATATATATTGTTTTTTTATTTTGAACTCACGTTTGGCTAAGAATTTGAACATGACTCCAAGGCAAAAGTTGCTTGTATTACATGACATATATGTTTTTCAGATTTTTCTGAGAGTTTTTTTTTTCTTCTTTTTTCTTATGTTTGGGCACTAGTTCGTGTTCGGGCGAACATGTTCGGGTTCGCCTCCGAACGCCAACACGGTGCTACGCAGGTGAAAACAAATCTCAAGGCCGTCGCCTTCAATGAGGAAGGAAGGCGGCTATCTCCACGCTGATGTAACAAAGGCTGCATCTGATGTCTGATCTTGCTACTGCTGCAGTGTGCTCTGCTGCCAACTGTCGTTTAAAGTGGAAAACACAAAATGTGACAGACAAATCGGTGTTCAAAGATTGTGGCTCTGTTTATTATCAGGGGTGGTAGAGGGGGAATGGAGGAGGGTGTGTATGTTGAAGAGCTGGGTGAGGGGGGGTGGGGGGGCAGTGGAGGAGCGAGCTGTTTGGGAAGAGATGGATGGGTGAGCGAGGGGACGGATGTGGCAGCGGGTGGCGGATGATGGAAGGGCTGGGGCGGATGGATCGGCACGTTGTGGCAGATGGATCGGCACGTTGTGGCGGATGGTGACTGGGTGGGGGTGGGAAGGTGAGTGGTGGGCAGAACATCAGGGGTTGAGGGTAGGGCTGGGTGGGAAGAGGGGCAGTGGAGAAGGGGTTCCCTTTGGGCAGGGATGGATGGGTGAGCAGGTGGATGGATGGGCATGGGGTCATGGATGATGGCGGGGCAGGGGTGTATGGATGGGCACGGAGTGGTGGATAATGACTGGGTGCAAGTGGGCAGGTGATCGGTCGGCAGGGCAGCTGGGGGGGAACGAGGGTAGACTGGGGGCGGAGGGTTAAGTTTAGGTTGGATAGTTACTCTGTCCTTTCTCCTCCCCCAGGGCCCCCACCTTCATATGCCTCTGCCCTGTGCTCTTGCACAAATTTACGCACATGTGCGTACCGTACCATTCAGCCACATGGTGTAGGGAAGGTCCCTTTTGGGTTAGGCAGGTACTATGGGTCCTCCTCTGACTTCCAATAGGTAACTAAGTATCAGCTGCCCTAACACTCCCAGCTAAGCTTCTTTGGAGGCGTTTGGTGTGTTGGTGGTTTAGTTGCCCTCTGAACTGACTACCAGTGCCACGCCCTTAATCGTGCAAAGGGGTTGCCTCTCAGCCACCCTAACCCTCTTATTAGCTAAGCTAAGCTTTGCGACGCCCTTGATCTTACAAAGGGGCTGCCTCTGAGCCACCCTAACCCTCTTATTAGCGAAGCTAAGCTTTGCGACGCCCTTAATCTTGCAAAAGGAGCTGCCTCTCAGCCACCCTAACCCTCTTATTAGCTAAGCTAAGCTTTGCAACGCCCTTAATCTTGCAAAAGGGTTTGCCTCTCAGCCACCCTAACCCTCTTATTAGCTAAGCGAAGCTTTCCAGCCCTGTTGGATTGTAGCGTTTGGAGTTCGAACTCGGGTCTGTATTTCAACAGGTTAGTTGACCTCCTTGTGTGTGTGCTCCTCCTATGTCTTGCAGGAATCATCTCTTACTCATGCTTGGAGGATTCAGAAACTCTGGGAACAAGAAGAGGCGGAACTGGAGGTGGAGGAGGACGCTTTGAACCGTTATGTTCGCAATTCAGTGATGCTTGCTGAGTTGTTCTCAGGCGATGCGGATTATCCCTCAGTCTCGTCGTCGTTTCTGGACGACGGTTATGGAGGAAGCGGGCCGCTGATAGATCGCTCCTTCGAGTCCCTCTCGAGGATGGTGAGAGGTCGTGGCGGAGGAGGTTCGCCGGGTGAGACGACATGTGGAGCCAAGCGTAGCCGACGAGGTGAAATCGAGGCTGTGGAGGACGCCGCTGCATGCAGTGCTGACTCTGCGAAGGAAATCTTGCAGCGTCTGTTGCGAGAGGTCCGCGTGGCAGAGCGAAGCACCGAGAACCGGGAAGACAGGGATGGGTCAAGTACGCTCATGTCTGTACGAAGAAAGCGGAAGCGGAAGCTCGTGGGGGCAAGTGGGACTGCAAAGCGGGTCGATACGCTGGATTTACTCTTGGATCAAGCTGATCGGGTGCGGACCAACGAAGACGTGGAGGCTTGCGAAGCGGCGTACCAAGAGGAGTATGGATACAAGCTGTCGCTTCCGCACCTACCGGAAGGACGAACAGAGGAAGACGGCGGCTACGATCTGAACGGTGAACCGGAAACAGGGCAGGTATATGGAATGCAGACTACAAATGAGAATGGGGATGCAAAAGAGCCGTCACGAAAAGTCGACAACAACGAAAAGACGGCTGATCGTCAGTTAGCAAACGGCGACCAGGGGGAAAATGATTGGCCAACTTTGGATAGAAGCTGGTGGCGCGTGCCTACGGGTAATCCGAGGACAAGGGCTATTTGCAGACATCTTGCCAAGACTGCAACAGACTTACTTCAGCTGTAACCGTCTTCCTCTGAATGGTCAGTGAACCGGAAACAGGGAAGGTGCATGGAAGGCAGATTACAAAGCCGTCATCAATCTTGCTCGCTGTTATCGAGTTGTGCTAGCAAGATGCAGACTACGTGGAGTTCAGCGCAGAGCGTGAGTGTAGTTCGGATCGGTTAGAGGTGGTAAGTAGAAGGAAAGGAGTTTGTGAAGTTTTGTTTTTGTGATCGTGTCTTTTGATTTTTGATCGGAAGTTTGCGGCATGGTGCGCATCGCATCTTTTGCTCGATAACAGCGAATGATGACCTGAGAGGCTGAGACAGAGAGGTGAGTCTTCTGTAGTTCGGTAGGGCATATCTGTCTGCCAGCTGCAGCAGCCAGTCAATCCAAGCATTTTTTTTTGTTTTAATCTTTGCCCCATCACTGCTCCCTTTCTTTAGTTCGATTGCCAGGTCAGGTCTCCACCCTCCCGTCCATTCGTTAGTCCATCCATCCACTTCATCTGTATATTCGATAGTGAAGGTGCATTGACTGCACTGTTGAATCTATTCCTCATACGCGTCCCTATTCATTCAACCTGGTAGTGCTACGCAATAGGACTTGGGTTACAGGTGTGTGTGTGTGTGTGTGTGTGTGTGTGTGTGTGTGTGTGTGTGAGAGAGAGAGAGAGAGAGAGAGAGAGAGAGAGAGAGAGAGAGAGAGAGAGTATGTGTGTGTGTGTGAGAGAGAGAGANGAGAGAGAGAGAGAGAGAGAGAGAGAGAGAGAGAGAGAGAGAGAGAGAGTATGTGTGTGTGTGTGAGAGAGAGAGAGAGAGTGTATGCGTGTGTGTGTGTGAGAGAGAGAGCCTGCATGTGTAAGTGTGTGTGAGAGAGAAAGATAGAGTGTGTGTGTGTGTGTGTGTGTGTGTGTGTGTGTGTCAGAGAGAGAGAGAGAGAGATTTTGGTGGGAATAATTGCTATACTGCTTAAGCTGGGTGTGCAACGAGGGGCTTCCCGCAACCCTTACGCCCATTTTTCAGAGAAAAGAGCTACTCTGTAAATTATTAAAACTCAATTTAGCCCAGTGGTGGCGGAGACTAAGGCAGCACAGGCCCAAGTCAATATGCCCACCCTGCTGGGTTCAGGGTAACTTTCTGCCATGGAGGTAATTTGTTCAGCCGTTACAGAATTTACCGTAGTAATGTCTACCGGCCAACAGGGTGATGGAACATGCAGCTCTTAGCCACAGACCCTTCTGGGAACTGTCCTGGAATCTTCCGGGAAGTCTCTCGTGAAAGTTCAGGAGAGAGAATAGGATTGAGGTGGGGGGTCGTGCACACTGTTTTGAGTTGAATTTGGGAAGCGCTGTGTCTGCTCTGAAACTCGGCTCTTGAGGCTGAGGGCGCCGGTTTGAATCCGTGCGTGCACGGAGGAGGTCCTGTGGCTGAAAAGAAGTTCAGACTGTCTGTTCTGGACAAATTGAAAGATGCGCAGAGAGGATTGAAAGACGCTCCGGATTTTTTTTATTATTTTTTTTAAGTTTCTTTGGGGATCTGTTTTTTAATGGTGTGAGCGGATGACACTGGCATGGTGCCACTGTGCAATGCGTCTCCTCTCCGGCGCACGGGCTGGAAACTCGTGAATTGATTGGTAACAGACACTTCCGAGAAACTTCAGAGTAAATTCACCCAATGGGTGAGCACACTGAGAAGGCGGCGGTTAATACGAATGTGGCTGGCAAAGCCAGCATAGTTCATCCCAGGCAGCACAATGTACCAACACAACCAATTGGTTGAGTTCTCCTATTAGTCTGTATTATGACTCTGTATATTAATTAATAATTAGCGTACATTGCCGTCCAACCTTTGTCCTGTACGGTGGACTGCAGTATCGTATTTCTTGTGCGTTGGTATTCATTCGTCAACTTAGGGCCTCGCTCCACTATGCAATTATCTGGACATCGTTTTATCCTCCAGATTATATTCAAAATGCTGCGAACTTGTCCTAATGGACCCGGTCCAGAAAGCGTCCAAATGCATGTATCATGTTGCGTATTGGAGCGAGGCCCTTATGTCGATGACGGTGTGTAGTCTGTATCTGTTCGAATGGCGGAAGTTTGCAAAGCGTCATTTAGCAATTTAGCATCCAATGCACCTGGTTCAGAAAGTGTCCAAATGCACTTGTCCTAATCCAGATTATATTCAAAATGCTGCGCACTTGTCCTAATGAACCCGGTCCAGAAAGCGTCCAAATGCATGTATCATGTTGCCTATTATGTCGATGGCGGTCTGTAATCTGTATTTGTTCGAATGGCGGAAGTTTGCGAAGCGTCATTTAGCAATTTAGCATCCAATGCACCTGGTCCAGAAAGTGTCCAAATGCATTGCGTCTCACTGGTGGTGTGAACGTTTCCTCAATTCGCTTTTTAGGAGGAACAATCTGTAACAATTGGTAAGTGATCTCGGGTTCAATTCCCGTCCCGCTGAGGGGTCACTTTGTAAATGAGTAAAAAATGACCCATTTTAAGGAAAAAAATGGGTCATTTTTTACTCATTTACGAACCAGATGGGGAGAGAGAGAGAGAGAGAGAGAGAGAGAGAGAGAGAGAGAGAGGACTTAAGTTCCGTGAAGCTCAGTAAACATCCACAAGTGAGCGGAGAAGAGATGAGAGGGTCTTTGTGCTCTGCTTGCACAAGGTGTAACCCTTGCTACATCTTAGATGCTTGCCATCGACACGATCTCCGGTTCGAATCTCACTTCTTTTCTGTTTTAGGGTTTATGGACACGGTTTGTGAATCGGTGGCAACAGGCAGCACTGGTTTGACTTCTTTGTGCTGAATGTGGTACACCCGTTCGACGGTTGATATACGCAGACCTGAGTTCGAACCCCCGATGGGATCAGCTGAACAAAATAACTGTGCATTACTTTGTGGCCGGTCACTTCGATGATGATGCCTGCAGGCCATCCCCCTTGTTTTTAAATATTTTTTAAGCATGCTCATGTGTGCTATGCTTTCCTAGGCATGCCTCGTGTACAAAAAAAATTGTATTTTTTGTATGGGTGTTGTAGTGAGGTTGTGCTCCGTTGTACTCTACCCCCAGCGCCATCGGAAAAGGAAAAAAAAAAGTTATCAGAAAATGTAGAAAAAAACTAGGTTACCGGGCTGGACATCCGGGACCCCCTGACCGTCCGGGATGGACGTCTGGTCGGACGGACCGAACAGGGTATGTCTGACCTATAGCAAAAAAAAAAAATTAAAAAAAATCATGTACCTTTCACCTTGCATAAGGTGTATGCCACCAAAATTTTGGCTCATTTGGGCCAGTATAATAAATAATAAAAATCTTCCCCACCAAAACCCCT